TATCTCAATTAATTTCCTTGATTCAATTAAAAAAAAAGATGAACCTGTTTGAGAAATTTTTTTTTTCTTGCCTTTTTATTTATTTCTTTTAAACTTTTATGTCAATTCTAAAGAATTAATCTGTTAATGTCATAATTTTTACTAGAATAATAAACTTATTTTGAACTAAGACAATAATTCAGTGCTTTAGTGTGCAGAAACATAATGCACTTTAAAGAAAAACAATGGGGTTTTATACGATGCTTCAATATATCTGTACATCACACCAGAAAAAATAAAAAAGAACATAATGTCAACTTACCACTTTAAAATAAGCTTATTTCTACATTAAGACTTTCTCTTAAATATCAACGGAGTGCCTTTCTACACCTATCCATATATAAAAATAACAGTCAGATATTTTCACAACCCTGGGCAAAGATACATTAAGCCAAGTCTATTTTGGGTTTTTCCCTCCTATAAATAAAGTATACGTGAATTGAAGCCCTTGGACAGAAAAACATCAAAGTTCATGTTCTCGTTTGACAGACAACTTTATACCACACATTAACTGGATTGAAAGGCAAGCACTTTTTGTATGAATATTGTCTGTCTTAGGTGTGCCAAATCTTGTGCTTTACAGAGCAAACAAAAAAAAAACAGTCTATGAAAATAATGTGTATTTAAACACAGAGAATGATCTTAACAAATGCAGAAAAAGAAAGACAAATGAAATTTCAATACCCTTAACATAATTAACAAAAATCCAAAATATTTAGACATTTAGGACACATTTTTTCTTTGTACTTAAAGAAACAAGATTTCCAGATGCATGCACTGATCATATGAAAACATAAAATTCAGAGTTTTAGAAAAATTATTATACCAATTAGCTAAACCCTCTTTTTCAAGTTAGTTAAGAAATTTACATCCAAAATTTGCCATCATGCACTTGTACAATATTCATCAATAAATAAAAACATACCTTACTAATTCTCATACACTGTTTCTCACAAAGTGGTAAAATATGATACTAATTCAGAAAAATTAGGTATCAGCAAGAGACCCCTGGTTATAGTTCACGACAAATCACCTGACTTAATTAATAAGATGTAACTTTAAAGCTTTAGGTTTATAGCAAGGTACGTAATATCCCAGCGTTTCTATTACATAAGATTATCTAAGATCTTTGTAATTCTCTTCAGAAAATCAGGGTAATAAATATTAATTACATGCATTTCTATAACTTGGTGACTTATAATTTGATTTTCATTCTCTAAAAAAAAAATTAATGGTTTAATCCTTAGTACTATTAATAATTCCAGATGAAAGGATGTCAGGGCTTCAGATCAGAAATGTCCAATGATTATTATCTTTTATATGGTTAGACTTATTTCTGGCTCTAAAAATAAACTTAAATGGCTTGCAATCAATACTAAAACAGTCCATCTGATATTCCGATGCCACATACATTTTTATTTTTGCAAATATTCTTTTCTGTATCACGAACAAGAAGCCACAGGTCTTTGTTATAAATCTTAACAGTTTTTCTGCAATACCATCTCTCTCATCTCATATTCACCACTTTAAAATTCACAAACAATTAGTCACATGATTTTAATCTGTATTCTGGGCATACAACCTTCTTTTAGGATGTCTTGAAAAATAATTTGCCCTGTTTTTTCTAATTACTTTCATTTGCATTTAAATGAAGCAATTAAATGAAAAAGTGCCATGCACAGTTCATGTAATCGAAAAAAAAAAAAATCCTTGTTTAGTGTTCAAAAATTGGTACACAGTTAAAGACTTGCTTTGAATCAGAAGTTTGAGCAATATTTGTTTTATTTAAAGCAAAAAAAAATACTACCCAAAAAATATTTAAAAGCCAGATGAGATGCAAGATGAAAGCAAAAATTTTAGAAGAAAAATCAACAAATAAAATTTACAAGCCACGAAAATTAATTTATATAAACAAAAACAAAAAGTGCATGGTTTTAATATAATCTTAATTTTTTTTTTCAGATTCCAATTTATGAAATAAATTGCCAGAATTAATTCTGATTTACATGAAAGATTTCTACTTACATGGACATCCCCGAGCTAAGACAGTGCGAGACTAGCCATCACACAAATCTATCTATCTCACTATCGCTGTCTTATAACATGTTATTGATCCAGATTTATAACGCACAGTGTAGCATTTCACAGAACTGTACGAATCCTCATCAATAACATCTAGATCATCATCGACTTAATCTTATTACACCAAAATTAGCTGCAGTGATTTGCAAAATTTTAAAAAATTATCATGTTTTAAGAATGCAAATTGCTTTGTTTTCTGCAGATGGAGAGATTCCAGCACAACCTAGCAAAATCTATAGAACTCCTCCAAGTAACGTTCAACATTGTGGATGGAGGTTCATCCCTTACCAAACTGTTACGTTTGCTGCAGACCTGCAGCAAGTCTGCTGCAAGTTTGCAGCAAACAAACTTGTTCACAGGAAGAAAATTTTCTTGTTCGCAGATGATTGCCGCTAGCTGCGATCTTGCGGCAAACATTGCAGCAATTGCTGCAAGCTTGCAGCAAATTCGCAGGAACTCAACATGTTTGCAGGAACATTGCAAGAAACATAAACGCCAATCTGTTGTTCGCAGCAAGTTTGCAGGAAACATTCAACAAATTGAATGTTTGCAGGAAGTTCGCAAGAACAGTAAACAAGTCAAATCAGCCAATGAAATGCAGACTGTACTGAGGTCAATACAGAATTCGCCATTTTGAAATGTTTGAATTGAAGTTGTAGATGTTTCAGTATTTTGTTAGGAATATATACCATTTTGAATGATTACAAAAGCATAATTCTGGACATAGGAGTACATTGGCATACAAACATCAAATTGGTAAGATCTGATTTTGTTTTATTTTAATATGAAACAATTGTAATTATATCTCTTGAAAAACTTGTGTACTTGCTAAATCTAAATCTATTGATGAATTTCAATCTTTAGTTTAATGTCACATTTGTATGTTTCTTTGATGTATTAAAGGTTCAAAATCATTTTTTATTAATGTTTATAGGTTTTCAAATAAATTGGTATTAACTGTAAAATTTTAATTTGTATGTATATAGAGTCATGTGCAAGGGTTCTTAATTTTTTCTGTACATGTCAGAACAAAATTTATATTACATTTTAATTAAGAATAGTATGGGAACCTTGTCTAGGAAAAGAAAGAAAGACTGTCAACAATTCAGAAACTTGCACATATGGTGGATTTTCTCTATTATAAACAGATTAAGGTCAGGACAAAGGCTTTCAGCGAACTTGCTGCTTGTATGCAGGAATGTGCTGAAAAACAATAAATATATTGCTTGCCGCAAGTTAGCAGCAATGTTTGCCGCAAGCTTGCAGCAATGTTTGCCGCAAGCTTGCAGCAAGGTCTCCATATTTGGAAAACCCAATGTTTGCTGCAGACTTGCAGCAAACCTCATTTGCATGGTAAAATGTTTGCTGCAAGCTTGCTGCATACCTGCCGCAAACTTGCTGCAAACACAGAGGCTTTGTATAGGCTGTCATTGTTTCTTTAGCTTCATTGCCGCAAGCTTGCAGCAATGTCTGCAGCAGGTTTGCAGCAATGTTTGCTGCAGACTTGCAGCAAATGTTTGCAGGAAGGCAATATTTTTGGTAAGGGATATTACCATTATAATGAAGTAAATATACATCATTAGTATAATAATGAGGACACAAGTCAATATTGTTAAGATTATGTATATTCATTGTTACATAAGTCAATGGAGTATATGTATTAATTGTTTCATTATCTATGTCTGACATAACAGGAATATATACAAACAGCAAAATTTCAATGTAAAAAAACTCTTATTCACATCATTTTCCATAGTTCATTTTTTAATAATTAGAGAATGTTTTCTAACAGATTGTAATAATAATTGATTATGAATTGGCCAATTCAAAAACATAAATACATGTTTCCATAGCAAAAAGAAATCTTAGTTAAGTTCCCTTATAAATTACCAAGAAAATTGATTTGGCTACTTAAGTTATTTATGACAAAAACACTTTATAGAACCCTCTTATAGATCTGAACTCTTAAAGACGTTTTTATCCAACACCAGAATCTATCATTTTCTTATAGGGTTTCTGAAATCTAAGAAATAGAGATTTTTTTATTTTTACTTTTCCGAATCTGTACCAGAATTAAAGAAAAATTCCTTGTGGAACTTCAAAACTCAAATTTACAACTTCTTAATTTTTTAACTTTATGGCTTTCATTTTCATAATGCCGAGTTTATATATATAAGAATAGGATTTTTTAGAACCAGTACTTTACTTGCAAGAATTCTGTATTTACTTCCAAATCTATATCCACAAGAATCTAAAATTGACTTAGTTTTTTAATAGGAATTCTGTTTTCCTTTTCACTAACTGTCTGACAGACTTGACGTAAACAATGAATACAAAACAAAATTTAAATTCGTTTACAGTCCAACCAGATGAAATGCCATTACAATTAAGATGGCATAATCAAAGAACTAAGAGTACTCATGCATCAGTTTTATACAATTCAATAGGGTGCTTCATCAAATTTGTTTTGAATTTAATTGAAAAATATATGCAGATACATTGTCAGTTTCTGTATACTTATTGTATAATTGTTATTTGTATAATTTCTAAAGACAAGTAACTTGCCTGACACTGCAATTTAACATATTTAATTTAATTTAAACAATATTTATTTCCAAACAAAACAGGATTGACAGCAGGCAAAATGCCTCTTAAATTTCAGTCCTCTTCCTAATTTAAAACTGCTGTAATTATCATTCTGTTAATTTGTACTTCAGAGGAAATGAATTCAATGTAACATTGCTAACACTGAACAGTAATTGTAACCCACTTCTCTTAAACTCTGTTAACTTTATATGGAAATTTTTAATTAGTCCTCCTTCCTGGAAGTAACATCTCTCCATTTTATGACTAATATTTTTCTGTACAGATGTACCTACCTCTAACCACAGACTCCATAACACTATTCTCTTCTGGTCTTGGCAGAATTTCTCTCGGAGTACCCTAAAATAACAGTACAAAATAGTCAGGTGTCTGACAAAAAAACTCAAAAAATAATATCTGCCAACAGTACTGGTATCTTCATAATTCACTGATTGTCAGTTCATAAATGAGTTATTACTGTAAATGTTCTTATTTTAGCAGTTATCAAATTTCAGCCCCTTCTGATCTGCTTCATGTCCACTAATACTTAAATATACACACTAATTATACATGATTCAAACTAATTAATTCATGTCATTTTGCAAGAATCAAGTGTGCTGATTTGATTGCACTAACAAGTTGAAGAGAAAGAAGGAGACTGCGCTAAATTTTGAGAGTGCTAATTTATGTATGCTTACAGTATTTGTTGTATTTCAAAATTCAAATTAGGAGTTCTCTCTCTCTCTCTCCTGCTTATTCACTCACTTTTCTCTCTCTCTAACATAAAAATTGACCAACTCTTGAAACAATTTGTGGAAATAAAACTCATCAAATTTCTGTACCAAATTTTTCCCATGCAAAAAACATGAAACTCATGCATAAGTCATGTCCTCTCTCAATACTTTTTTTGAAGTAAAATACCAAATTGTATGTAATAATATTTTCATGTGTTGATTATTTTTGACTCCTATTATTCACACATAAATAAAATTACTCATTTCAAAAAATTTAAATTTATACAAATAGCATTTTGCAATCTTCTTATTAGTATGCACTTACTGAGAGAAAAAGCAATCATTTGATTTCATCATTAAAAAGGGCCAAAAATTTTCAATTTCTTTTCCCAAAATAAAACACCCATGCTTCCATCCTACTAGAAAAACCAAGATTTGTTTGTGAATTTCCCTAGTGGTAACGAAGGATGCAAGTTTGGAATTTAACCCTTAATTAAAATCTAGGTATGAAAATAAACCCTAAAATCTTGACCATGAGCTTTCAAAATTAAGTCTCAATCTTCTAGATTTCAAAAAGTAATGGTTATATACGGTTAATATGGACATCAACAGACTCTAGAAATACAATACATATGACCTTCTCCAATCTTGTGAGCATAGTTTAATGCTTCTCAAGTTTGTTAACAGGAAACTTTTGTGTTAAGATCAATAGAACCATTAGAAATACTTCCTCTATCTATAGGTATAACTCTGGGCCATACTGTTTGTAAAAATGATTTGAATATTTTACCAATGATGCTGTTACATGTGCAGTAGGGATGGGTATCAGCAAAAATTTCGTATCGTGATATATCACGATTTTTTGCCAAAAATATCAGGATAAATCGTGTCTATTTTTACACACAATTTTTACTACAATTTCAAATGAATTTTCATAATATTTCTTAAAAATATGCTTTAAAAACATAACTTTACTTTTTAATTTCTTAATTATTTAATATAAAGCATGTTTGGATGCCTTTGTTTAACTGTTTTCAACATTTTTTATACTTCTTGTAATTGTCTTTCAATAGATTGAACAAATAAATGACTAATTTCTGGAATTTATAGTTATGTACCAAATACATTGTACCAGTATTTTTGTCTCCATATCACGATACGTATCACGCAATAAAAAATTGTGATATACTGGTATACCGATGAAATCATGCATCCCTAATGTGCGGTACAGTAAACAGGGAATTTCATGATTACCATAGTCTTCAAACATGTCAACACACTTTAATAAGCTAACAAAGATAGTTTAAATTTGTACCATTTTAAAAAAGATGAAAGTCATTTCATTTTTTAATTTGGAAGGGGGTGTTAATTCCCTTTAGCCTCCCCAAACATAAATATATTATTAACTGGGCAAGTTAGACTAAATATGATTTCAAAACAACCCCTCCATTTTCTGATGAATGAATCTATAAAATCTGCTAGTATGGTAATTACATGTATCTGTGGTAACAAATAAAGCAAGCTGGTGAAAAAAAAGTATTTGGGACAATTTTACAGTATGAGAGTAGGAATTAATAAAAGGTTGAGAACATAATAAAAACCCCAATAAAGCAGATGTTATTCATATTTATGACCTTGTTATTAAGATCAGTGTTTTTTTTTTTTTACAATTTCCTAATATGGCTCTGGTGCTTGGTGATCTTCTGGTCTTAAGTTTGAGATAAGTGGACCAAGGGGCCAATCAATGAAGTATTGACAGAACATTGCCAACCTGTCTTAACATGTTTACTTGATCGGGATTGGAGAAAAATAGGTGATTATCTTTGCATTTTTATCTAGATCAAGAATCTAATGTTTGTCTATTCAGCAACAAATAGCCCTTTTTCTCATATTACAAGAAGTTTTCATTAGTATCAATTCATCAAGATAAATGATTTTATTTTTGTCTTGACCCCTTTTCACACCTAATAGTCGATCCACACATATTCTGATTGACTCTATCATCATCCGCTCGGAACATGGCACCAATTACTTTATTATCCATGATTGCAGGTAAAAATCTCTTTTTTAGTTCGGTTGGCAAATAAATGTTAAGCAAACTATCCATTACTTGGTGCTTTTGCAGCTCTGGGTTATTGCAGACCTATACTAGTATACTGGCCGAAATAACAGGTCTCAATTTGTATGTAATTGGCAACATTCTACAACACATCATAAAGCTCCCAATTACATCCAATCATGATAAAAATAGTGACCTGCAAAAAGGGGGGAATAAAATAAGGCAAAAAAAATATTATTAAAGAGAGTACTTATTTTTAGAAGAAACCAAATTGTAGATTGTGAACATTGATAAATGAGAAATAATGCCCTGTCATGCAGCATGCAGTATTTTTTAAGTAATATTTCACTCACACATATCCTAGTATGTAGATAAATAGCTGATGTATGAGAGGCTGTAAGAAAAAGGCCCACAAGCACAGTTACATATATACTGCTGATTGTAAGTAGAGAAAGATTAGAATATTGACTTCAATCCATACAAAAAGTATGCAAATATGTGTAATCAAGGACAATGATCTTCATTTTCTAAAACTGTGTATAATCTTCAAAACAAAAATTGTCACTAATACTTAATAGATCGATGTATCTGTTTTTATTTAGCTTGCCTTACTTTTTTGCTGAAGGTTCTAGGTAATGAAACCTTTACCAGTGCATTTGTTTTCTACATCTGAATCAGAGGTATCAGTAAGCTAGTTTTAAATGAAGTTTTACAAGAAATTCCTAACACCTATCATTCAATTTAAGGTTCATTGACCCTCTGATAAGAGAGGTAACTCTCACTGGAATAAATGACTATCTCTTTAAAAAAAAAATCGTCAAGATCAAGGGCCATTCCTGTCAAATTTTGCCCCATAAGGTATGGTGTGTATTTTGATTATAATTATATTTCTTTTGGAAAGTCATAAGCATAAAGGAAATGTTTTATAAGAGTGAGCAAAGGGGTGATGAACCTTAATATTTTACATGTATAAATAACATCTCTAAACTACTATAGTTTGACCAACAAAAAAAAACAACAAAAAACAGAGGTTAGTACATATATTTAATTTAAAACTGAAAATATTTATGAAAGCTACAAAATAAATATTCTTATGTCACATCTATGTTAAGTAAGTGGGAATCATCTAAATTATAGCTATAGATATATTAAGACACAGTGACAATGCTAATATGTACAGCTGTAAAATGCTTTGATGATTTACATGGACACTTACGTGTAGCTTTCCGTGAAGCTTGAAGTCACTTTCACTCCAGGCCGCAGATCGAGATTTCAGGGACCGTGACAGGGCACCTGCGCCAGGAAGTGCAGCCATGCGTGATGTTCCAGGAACTGAGGATAACTGACCTAAAAGGTCATCAGAAAACAAATATTAAATATCAAGTCCACAATTAATATTTGAAAAGACCTTACATATGACATATTGCCACATGGTATTTTTAAAACAAACATGCACATTTAATGGGGATAAAAATATCAATTAATTAATCTAATTAACCTTTTATCATATCTTACCTGAAATTTATGGATATGAAGTACAGAATTATATCTATATTAATAGTAATGGTTTATCACATAATAAAAGGATATTTTCTTTTTTTTATTTGGAGGGCTACTGCATGCGTGTGCATACATATATTAATTGTCAAACACCATTGGAATCATCCTATCCACTACTCATCTCTAATTATTTTCTACTCTTTCGTGATCTTGTATTAGTTCTCTAATTCAAGAATAAATCCAAACCCTTCCCCTTATATCTCCCCACAAAAGATGGGAGGAAATGGAGACAGAATCCCCTTCAAATTGATGCTGAGATTAGCCAGAGAGGGAGACGGGAAATCTCCACAATTCGTGACATTTTGGAAACAGAAGCATTATGCCATGCAGAAGCAATGCTTCTAGATTAGAATGGGCTGGTGGCTGTATCTCCAAAGTAAAAAGCAATCACCATTAAAGAGTTCATGCCATTCCCATGAACAAGATTGTTTTAGTATCGCTGAGGAAAATGAAAAAAAATTAATTCGTATCAGATAACATAGGTTGATTATATCTACCATTTCCTGTACATATATATAAGAAAGATGAAAGCAATATAACTAAAGATGATATCAGGTTATATAACACGCTTTATAGATATAGGAGTGTTTGCTTGTACCTAAAAAGTAGTGGAGATAATATACCAAGACATTAATTATACAAATGGGAAGGGTAACATGATTATACTTTGCATCCCACATCATAAAAATTGTGCAGCCACCATATTGTAGAGGCTGAACCTCCAAAGCTCCAAGTAATAAACTTTAAAAATAGCAAAATTATAAACTAAAATAGCTCTTTCTTGTCTACCGGTACTAAAATTTTTTTGGGTGGCGCTATTTCAATTCAATCACAAACTGATTCAATTAGAAGTGGTAAGAGTTATCTCCTCCTGTTTTCATCTCCCAAAGTTTCTCCTCCCCCCCCCCCTCCCCCCCGATTTTGCTCTCCCATTGTAAATATCAAATCTTTTGTCCTACAATGTTACTGGACTTCAGAAAAGCAAGGGTTAAGGTTATTCAAACTAGAACTACAATTCTTTGTGGATGGCAAGTTTTACTTATCTGCTTTTAATTCTGTTTAAAAAAAAAAATAATGAATATATATAATTAACTCCATTGTTTCCTATACATATATATAGCTGATAAAAATTGGGATTCTGAATATCATAAAGCAGTACATGTGTAAAGTTCAAACAAAAAAAAATCAAAAAAAAAAAAAACACACACACAAAGGGGCACTGATATGTTAAATCACAAACACCATGCAGAATGTAAAACTTCGTTCTAAATCATGCTAGAGCTGCATAAGCATGCAATTACAATTCACCACATGACAAACATGTGCTATCACATGACTATCACATGACTAGTCACTACATCTAATCTGAATCTTTAAATACATGTACAATGTACATGAATAATAATTACCAGTACATGTACAACACATGTTTTGAATGAATTAATATATAAGTTTAAAGTCATAGTAATAGCTGGATTTGCTTTTGGGTGTTGGCACTTTTCATTTTCAAATCTCTACAGAAATAAACTCTCAGTTTTGTTTCAGAGCAAAATTGGGTACATGTACTATTCTCCCACCCACCCCCCTTCCCATACCTACATGTAGCCTCCTTGTATCTAGCCCATTTTACATAGTGAGTACATATAGTTCATGCAGTCAATGACACCTGCTTGTACAATGTGTATCCATGTCTTTCTCAGGTCAGTTAAGATATGGACTATTAATGATTATATAGTTCTGGGATTTTTTCTTCTCTGAATAGAAAATTTATCCTGATTAACCAGCTTTCTCTGACTCTCCTGGATGACAGATGGCCTGAGGTAAATGACATTATTAGCCCCTTATAAGCACATGTTTCCTATAAACTCTTCATCACTGCTTTGACCTCCTCATCAACTCTTGTTCTCATCTGTTATAGTTCATTGACAAGCAGTGCCATAGCCCTGAGAATATGGTCTTAACTTTCTCACAGAAGTTTCAAGATTTTGTGTGTCCCATTAGCAAATTTATTCATTAGGACTGTGTAATAAACAGAAACTATACATAATTTCAGATTCCATTAGAAGATCTAGGTTTCAAAAATTAATTTATGTTGATTCCACCACCCCTTCATTCAAAGACTGTTGAAGCTATAAAACCTGAGAGATTGAGACCTATGGACCTTGATGGTCACCTGAGTAGACCTTGATGGTCACCTGAGTATCATGAATTGTCTTAGGATAAGATAACTTTGGCCCCATCTGGAACTGGAACTCCTGACTAAGACAATATTTAACAGCTTGGTGAGGACTCAATAATCATTATCATATTCATGCAACTTGTCTCTTGTAAGTTCAGGAGTAAAGAAAATAAGGTACATTGTATACAGTAAAACAAGCTTATAGCGAACACGCTTATAATGAATTGACCCTTAAAACAAAGTCATTTTCATTTCCCGTGACTTTAAAATATGTTATAATTTAACGGATATAACGAATTATGCTTATAACGAAGAAAAATCATCAGTCCCAAGCACTTCGTTATAAGCATGTTTTGCTGTAATTAATTTCAATATATGACCAGCTTGATGTCCAGGAGTAAAGAAGAATTTTGAAGATTACATTGATTTTGCCCACACTCCTTAAGCCCCAGGGAGGCAGAGACCATGAAATTTATAATTTTGGTTCCCCTTTACTCATAGATGCAATAAACTAAAATTGGTTGACATTGCTCTGCAGTTCAAGGAAGAAACTGAAATATTCAAAAGTTTACAACTGATGGATGACATACATCTGCACAACCAACAAAAATACAGAATACATGTATGTAGAAATATACAAAATACATGTTTGTTGTCATAATATGTTCATTTATACTTTAGGCATCATCAGAAACTCATGAACAGTCTTGCTCCTCAGGGTAAGAATAGTCACCATGGATTTGATGTATTTTAAACAATACTGAATGAAGTTTTAAATTTTATTTTTTTTTTTTTAAATTTATACTTACCATCAAAATTGATGTGAGAGGGAGCAGACTTGCGAGACTTGGCACTAGAGGCACTAGTATTAAGCTTATTGTAAGGGTTGTTATAGTGACGGAAGAAATATGGACTAGGAACAATCGGGCGATTATGTGTAGAGTCGACAGGCACTGTGCGGGGACGCTGTGAATTACCCTCAGAAAAGTTGGCCATGATTTCTGCTTGGTTTGGATTTCTATAACTCCTGCAAAAAAAATACATAAGAGATATAGAAAAAAAAATCAAAATTCAATTATATAATAATTATATACAATACCTGTAGATTATAGATTACTGATTTGGAAGCTTTTATCAGTTTGTTGTGGATATTTATGTCAAAATAGAGGAAATGTAAAAATGTTACAAGCAATTTAAAATCACTTTTCAAGTGTATGATAAAAGCTTTCAATATTTTTTTTTTACATCATGAGTACAATATACCTACATTTAAACATAATTGGTAATTAATCATGAGAAACCTAGAGAATTCAGATTCATATTCCTAATCTAGAATATCAAAACAAATGAAAAAAACCCATCCCCTCCATTGAGAACCAGATGACAAGAAAGGAACATGATGTATTTCTATGCCTCCCCACCACCTGTTGGTAATTTTTAAAAAAAAAAAAAATTCATCCAAAACAGTGTGCGCATAGTCAGCACTAGTCACCTATAGGGCTCTGCTACCATTGGACTGTGCAGACCTGTAACCATAACAACAAAGCTTGTGCACACCAAACACCAATCACAGACCGAGTTACCTGGAATTGATTTCACTGGATGCCTCTGTGATGACAACTTGATGAAGAAAATGCCAAAATAATGAAATGATCATAAAAATGGTGTTCAGCTTATAGATATGGTCAAAGGGAAGTAACTCTTATTCACACGACAAACTAACTACTACAAAGGCGATTGCCCAAGATTCTACTACACAGGTTGAGTGAAGCTAAGAGAGATGCTGCGAGCTGAGTTAGCACTCCGATACATGATGTGACCCCTCTTAATAGTGGAGGAGGTTCCAGGTCTAGTCTTGGGGGTGTTAGGGGGTCGAATCGGACAAGAGTATGGTTGCCTAGAGACGGAGGAGAGAATGCTGTTAATAAATGAAGGAAAACTTAATGTTAAGGCGATTTATTAATACAAAAATATCCAAAGACATAAAAAAAATAAGACACAGTTAAATCCAACACAAATAAACAGACAATTTTTCTTTAGCACCATCAACATGTAAAACTCTGGCCTCTCTTACATGAATACTTTTTAATCAAAAAAATTAATTCTTATACATACATGTCTTTCACTTAAACAGAGACAAGAGTCTCTATGAATGAGATTGCTGTGTACCGGGGTAATTACCTGACAAGCGTCTCTATGAATAAGATTGTTGCATAGTTACCTGACGGTAAATCCTGTGCTGAATTGGGATGGTTCCCTTTGGAGACTAGAATGTTGTTTCCTGTACGGAAATAAAGACTGGAGGGATTCCACATTACCCTGCAAGAAGACGACTTCATAGTCAACCTGTATTCTGAGTAAAAATTTGACCCAAGGATTAAAAATAAGTCTGATAACAGCATACAGTGCAGAATGGGTATACATCATACCATTCTTATTTCTAACAAAAGTTAATCTTTAGTCACACTAAGCTTTTTACTGAGACATAATCATCCTGCATTATATATTATTGTAAATTTAATTATAAAAGTTCCCAGAAAAACTTGTGTTTGTTATGATGCATAAGTGTGTCTTTCTGTATCTAAATCATAAATATACAAAAGATTATTATGTAGAACAAATTTTCCAAGGACATTTTACCAAGGAAAAAGAAACAGGTATATGACCTATTTTTGTTGTCCTTGGTGATACTTATTTTTGCTGTCCTTGAAATGTCTAGCTATGTCTAGCTATTTTGCTAACCTTGATATGACCTATTTTTGCCGTCCTTGAAATGATATTTTCTACCCTTAATTGATATGACTTATTTTTGCTGACCTTGACATGACCTATTTTGATGACCTTGTTATGACCTATTTTTGCTGACCTTGCAGACTTTCTTGAAACATTCCTCCAGGCCTACTGCCTCCTCTTCTTTTGCTGAGATTCTGTTGACCTCTTCAGCGAGAGTGTCCACCATTTGCGGGATACCGTCCGGATGATCCATGGAAAAACTCATCAGTCCAGACAGGTTTTCTGATCGTGTCACTCCATTATTTACCACCACTGTATAGTTGCGGGGATTCGTTCTGCAAAGAGGGACAATATGTTATTTTACATGTAACACTGTATGAACTATTGGTCATTCCTTTGAATTTAATTTGATATTAATTATAACCATATTTCACAACTGTCCTACTTTAAAACATTTGATTAACTACAGTTGAAATTTGGTATCTCGAACATAAATATTTCGAAAACCATGGATATGTCGAAGTGATTGGGAACTCCTAACCACATATTTTTTAAGTATTTTACCCTAGATATCTCGAGCCCTCGGTTATCTCGAAGTTTTTGCACTTTAAGTGTGAAATGTATTGTGTAACAAAGATGAATGAAACAGTACTTAGACAATTTTTCTGAATCTTTCTCTGAATTCTAAAAAAATTATATTTTGGACATGATTTGTTATGCATCTTAAAGAACTAGTACACGTAAGTTAAGACTTTTTACTTTGGTAATAATGTTATGAGTAAGTTTGGACTAACTTGATCAGGTCATAAAAATGGTTCCTGTCCACTGCCTTTCCTGGGCCCCATTTTCTGGCTGCGGCAGTCCTCGGGCTTATATCTGCTGGGGGGAGAATCTCGGGAGCCCCCACGGCTTTCCTCCTCTGTAAACAACACACAACAGAGGTATTTGAAAATAATCACTTATTTTAAGATTGTCCATCTAACACATGTGGGGAAAGGACTCTTACCAAAATATATTTAGAATGAAGACGTACAAGGGAATTTCTAACAATATTCAGGAAAATGAATAAAAAACAGAATCAGAAAAATGAGGTCAAGGATAAAGAGAATGTCAATGTCACAAAATGAGGTGCATGTGAATTACCGAATATATATCATTGTATGATGAAAATATCTAAAATAGTTTCTCTGTAAGCTAGTGCAAAATGGAACAGATAAATATATATGCTGGGAGGACAGAGACATGATGGACACTACAATGTATATATCTCAGATAAATTCATAGTGGGGCAAAATCAGAATCCTACTGCAGATGAATACAATGTTAATGGAGTGGATTCATTTTTTTTTTGGTCTTTAGAGTACCAATATATGAACATGCAAATAACAAACCTATAAATTTGTGATGAAAAAACTAGGGAATGAAAAAAAGTATGTCAAACGAATTAAAGCTTTTAAATCAAAATTTAAAAAAAAAAAGTCATAAAACTCAAGTTAATGTGTTAAATTCACTATATATCAAATAAAACCCTTCATGCACACCACCACCATTGATTCTAATGAAAAAGGGGGATAATCTACAATCATATTCATGTTTCGATTTAAAGGTAATAAAACTAATGCAATTTTTATATTCAACTCCTATATGTTCTTAAAAATAATTTTTGAATGCAATGCATTCTGTGTGTATATAAACTATAAGAAATAATTTGGTTGTACTTATGCACAATATCTAAGGCTGTACATAACTTTCTATTACAGCATTTGTCCCCATGAATACAAAGCTTAACTTATTATATATAACCTAGCTTCCTGCATTCTGATGAAAAATATTACTGTGTACTGGTATATTTTTTAAGTCAATAGAAGGGATTCTTCTTATTGAAAATGTCAGAGGTAGGTATCATTTTTTATTAGGACATTAGTACTAATTTGACAAATAGAGTTCTTGAAAAAAGACTCAAACTTATCCCCCCCCCCCCAAAAAAAAAAAGAAAGGAAAAGAAAAAGAAAAAAGGTTTTTTTTTCTTTTTTGAAGAGACCTAAAGGCCACAATGCTTGCCTGAGTTACGTTTAATTCCTACTTTGAAAAAAACTAATTTTCAATGCCTAAGAACCATTTTTAGGACTTATCCTGGACCAGGAATCATGATTTAAACAACAACAGTCTTTTTTGTTAATTTTTTTTTAAATTTCCTATCTGGTGTATACCCTAATTAAAAAAAAAAGAAATCTCAGTTCATTTAATATGCTTGTAAATTGCAGTCTAAGAGTTCATGGGAGGAAGTCATCCACAGATTATTTTTTTCTCATTTATTATGCAAAAAACAACAATTTCTCATTTAGATTCGAGTAAATTGTACCTTTGCAATACAGTACAGATTTTACATACATTTTGGTATTTTGTGCATATTTGTGCTAAGTTTAGTTGAAAAGTGGTCCAGTGATTCTGTATAGAGAAAAGATGTTTCAAATGTGAAAAGTTTACAGATGAATGCATGGCAGAAAAACCTTGATCATAAAAGCTCCCTAGGGTCTGTTACAGTAGATGATATGAGCCCGAAAAAATTTACATCAACATTTGTTATATTCTGTTTCCCTGTATTTTAGTTGAAACATCCCAAGCCTCACACAATTTAAGAATGCTGCATTAAATCTGCAGTCTCGAAAAACTTAAAACTGAAAATCAAATTTATTTTAGTAAAAACATGCATACAAAATTTAGGGAAAAAACATGCAATTCAATAAAGGGGATGCAAATTTTGTACCTCCTCTGGGTCAAAGGCTGAATGTGACCTCCTAGCACTCTACAAAAGGGAAATAATCAGTACTACTTAAAAACTATGAACAGTGAAACATGATTAGACTCAACACCAGGACAAAGTTACACAGTAATTCATTACCCAATCAGAATTTATCAATTCATTTTCACAAACAGAATTTTAGTATTTCATTTGGAGGAATGTCTTTCACATTTTACTTTCAATTTGCTATATATACAAGCTGGTGCTGAGGTTGACGCTCATAGCTATCTTTTATTAAAGTGATAACAATGGCCAATCTTTATACCTAAAACCTTGGCCTTAATATGCTGAATTTCATAAAAAGATTAATTTCCTTGTCAGTCATGTTCATTATTTCCTTAACTGACATTTAAACTTAAAATTCTAATATAATTTTTTCTTCGGCATTCAAATGAAAATGTTAGCCATTACATCAATGAGCCTAGAAATGACATTTAATGATAACAATTCCACCTCTTTCAAAAGTTTTGAGCTTTCAGTATTTGATTGGCTTTATAATTACCAACTCCTACTAAGTCTCTCGATTTTATTATTTAATTGGCATTAATTACCAATTCCCTTAGAATTCCCTTGGTTTTATTCTTTGAATGACAATAATACCCCCTCCTTCTTTTTCCCCGTCTGTAGGATTCATACCTTGAGTGGTTGTCCTACAAATCCCCTCTTCTCTTCTTTAATGCGTAACTGTTCCACCATTTTCTGTAAAGATAAAATCTTAAAACTAAGTCTCCATGTCAAAATACCATAAATGTACATATATTACTGCACTCAAAATTAAATGCAGTCCTCATCTTTAGCTGATTAACCCAATCATAAACTAGTGCATTTCAGTCTTGAAATAGACAAGATTTAGTTTATATCATATATATATATATATATATATATATAAATTAGCTGACATAAATCATAACTTATAACTTAAATTACTTATATAATTACTATTACCGCTAAAATAAGTACATTTACAGTCCTTAGTAGGTCTAAAAAGAAGTCAGATGATAAACCAATCAAAAAACTTTGATATGCTCTTTTTTTTTTATCTATAGCAAAAATCTCTGATGAGACTGTAGCTCTAATACAGTCTGAGAGAAGTCGGAGTGAAAAGCTGCATTTTTGACTTGTACCACTTTTTCAGTGAGCATTACATTTTAACACTAATATCTATCTTGATGATTTCTAACCTTGTATCAAGTTCTATTTAAATCAGACCCAAACTAAAAGAAGCATGGCATTTTAAGAATTTAACAGCTTATTCTACTTTTAGTTACTATGGCAACAGCATTCATAAAAATCAGGAACCTGAATATATACAATTAAATCAGTTACAAAGAATTTCCTTATATGGAAATCTTGCTTATAAGAAAACTTTAAATTTTGAATCTAGTGGGAAAAAAATTCACTTTTAAAATAGTCCTCATATGGATATAAAAAGAATCTCATTTAAAGAATAAGTTGATGATACAAAGGTATCAATAATCTCATTAAAAGTCAACATTTCGCAAATTCTGTGGTTGATACATGACCTTGTTTGCAAATACTGTCTTATTTAGGTCCAATGTTGACTAACATCTGTCACACAAATTGTTAGGCCATTATTTTCATACTGAATTTTTTCCATTTACCCCAGTGGTGAGAAATGGCAAGGATTTTATTTGAATTAATCGAAGATAGCTAGATTTTCTATAACTAACTAATTATGGATTATAATCAGAAAACAAGAAATTTCATAATAAACGATGGATTGATTGTATGTTGTTTAACGTCCCTCTCGAGAATTTTTCACTCATATGAAGACGCCTAATAAACAATTGAAAGAGAAAAGATCATATTAATTAGGGAAACCTAAAATTTATTCAGTGGAAAAACTTTTTCTGCTCTTGTTACAAACATAAATTGTCCTTGTAAACTTTTCATTCTTTACAAGTAAGGGTAACAGTGCAACCTAGAGAAATACTAAAAATCAGGTACAAATTTAGACTCTTATATTTTGGCAATATATTATCATGTGGTGCACCCAGCATTGGTAAATAAGCTGCCATTTTTGAGCACCTTTATAGTGTATTAGGTAAGTCATAGCTAAAATCTTGCATTCCAAAAAAATAGATCTAATGCTCATTGATAAAAAATACAATTAAATTTTTTTTTTTTTATAATCAAGCACTTAGACTGTACCAACAACTGATTTTTGATTATAATCAATGATTGGAACGTATATCACTAGATTACCCTATCATGACAAAGGGCATGCCAGGTGTGACTGGTTAACAGGGGATGCTTACTTCGATCTCCATGGCACCTGATCCCATTTCTGATGTTTGCAGTGGTCTGACTGTTTGCTCTCCATACAATTTGTATTGTTTAATTGGACTTTTGAGCAAGATAACTGTTTGTTATCTTCACATATCATTTTAAGGAAGCAAAATTCAAGGTACCTATGACTTAATTCCTTCTAACCAACTTTTACCATATAGAATTAATGTATAGTCTCCTTATGTACCAAGTTTCATTGAAATCTGACCAAAACTTTAGGTGAAGTGGCATTCTTAAAAAAATTAACAGAATAGTCTACCTGTATTTTTAGTTACCATCACAACTCCATTCAGAGAAAAAAAATTATCTTGATTAATGATTTGATTTCTATCACAGGATTCACCAGTTTAATATATTCAAATATTATACAAATATTGACTGGGGTTGAGGGCAACACTGAATATGTTAGCTCCTAAGGGATGAAATATTGCCCGATGCAGAGCACTGACTGTTTCTCTATATGGAGAATATAGAGTCTACTCTTTACTGAATATAACACTTTCTTTCATAACAGTATCCCTCACTTACATATCGTCTCTGCTCTGTTGGGGTTCTGATCCTCTGGGACATCCCTCTCCCCCGGGCTATGACTGGGACATTTGGTGATCTTGAAGCTGGAGGTTTAATGTTGCCTTCCTATTTAACAAAGAATAAATATTCATTTCTACAATTTGTAGCAGCCCATTAATGCTGGTTAAATCATATGTCACATTAAAAATTTTGCTCTTGTCTTTTATATGATACAAAATCACTTGTGAAACATAAATTCTTCAATAAACAAATACTGTTTAGTACTACAGAGAATTTCATTCTTTTAAATCTTATCATCATCAAAATAAATTTAAGCATGTCTTAATTACATGTCTGTAAACTCTGCATGGTCTGAAGACTAAAATATACAACAAAAAAATTACTAATTATATTTTCAAATCTTTATTAAGACTTCCATGTATTAACTTTCACATTACAGGTAAATTGAGAACTTCGCACCAAAATATTTTCATGACAGTATCTAGCTATCATATCATTGTTGGCAAGATAGAGGTGTATTTTCTTGCCTTTTAAGTCGTGGCTGACTTTGTTCACACATATGTTAATAACAAACAAATGACAACTTGCCAATATAAAATGACACAGGCCTTAAAAAGAAATAAAAGATTTTCTTCAAAGTGGCTCAAGACCTGGTAGCCTGATAAATCAAAAAGACGTTTATGACACATTTATCTCGGGATTCAATGGCCATTATTGCAGTAAATAAGGCACCTGCATGTCACCAAACAAGGATTATAGATATATATTGCACCCTGTGCACACATTTATGTCGTGACATTGCTACTCTGACTGTAGATATATTGCATTTCTTGATTAGAGACAACGTACTCACAAAAATCAAATAAAATTTTTTCTCATGATTTTTCACTTTGATTAATTACTTTCTGCATTAAAAAACTGGAGGCTTGTTAGGTTAAAAATGTTAACTTTACTTGTTTGCTAAATATTCCATTGAAAAATGAATGGTGTTTTTTTTTTTAAATCTAATCTTGTCATGGAAAATAAGTAAAATGTTTGTATGACTACTTAAAATGTTTTCGTGAATTTCAGGTCTTGTGAAGTTCTTAATAAATACAATTGCTCCTGACTTTAAACACAAGAAATTTAATGAAAACACAAGTCAAGTATTTGCAAATACATTTACACAATACTTTCACTATATCTAGAAATATCTGATTTTGGAACCAAAATAATAATACCAAGGGGAAGTTTTTTTTCATTTTCATTCACATTTTTTTTTTACAAAGAAAAAAACCTAAGGATAGATAGTGCAACCAATGTATTTTGTACATGATCATGCAACATTTGTGAGTTCTGTGTTATTGAGGAAAACAGCATTTAACATCATAAATGAAAATATATATATTCTTCAATTTTTTTTTTACATCTTAGAAACAATAAATGACTAATAGATATAACTTAATTGATTGAGCTTTGCAATTTGAAATTCCACATACAATATGGTAAATGGAAGAAAGTTGGTATATAGTTTAAATAATTTGCATGATACTTACAAGACCTAAATAGATTCCAGTCATATTGCGGTTGTGTGTCTTGCTAGGCATGGTTTTTGTAGAAAATGGCATATTCCGGGTCATAGGGAGTTCCCCTGCATTAGAAGGGTGTAAACCCCGCATCATGATTTCACTTTCTTCAATATACTTGGTCCAGCAACGCAGCTTACATCCTCAAAATCATTTCACTTTTGAAAAAACTCCATGATATCTCAATGCGTAAAACCTTGCAATTACTACCATTGGTTTGATCTGAGAAGAAACAGAAAAAGAATTCCACTAATTTAAAGTAAGGCCTTTAATTTGACTATGTTCTATGTAAATATCAAATGGTTATCAAGTACTAAATGACAAAGCATTGCTTACAAAACACATAATGCCAAAACACACAGACATATCTACATGTTGGGATTTAATTTAAAGGCCCTTACACTTCTGGGATATCTATCAAGGCATCTTGGGGGACAGCATTGTATTTAAAAACTTACATTTGAGTTAGGTAATATCTATTCAAGACATAGGGCTCAAGTATACCAAAGTTTATCGACAATATCTCTTCATTTCAAGGTTTTTTTGTTATTGAATTTCCAGAAGAATAGAAATTGATCGGAAAATGCATTATTGATTATACTGCAGAATGAAATGAGACAATGCTCACCAGTATTGCATGAATCACTGAGGTTACCTCTCTTTGTCAAGAGTTCTGACAAAAACAATGCCGACATTTACTACTATGGGACTAAATGGCAGGGCTGTGTTCAAAATCATTGCAGTTAGTCTAGCTGCTTGGCTTAGCTAGATATCTAGGCTTACTGAACACACTGTACGAATAAAATGCTTGTTAGGTCCCTAGCTACACTAGCTCTACGTATTAGCTATGTAACTGCTGTAATCTTGAATGTACCGCTTTGTTTGTATGGAGTGTGGAATAATGACATATTTTTAATGTTATGGCCCAACAGAATGAAAGTATAGCATAAGTCTAAGAAAATAGATGTACCAGCTAGCTGACAAAATGACACCTTACCTCATATTCTGACAAAATTTTGACACATTGTCAGTTGTTGTTATTTCATGCAATCATTAAAACACAATCATTACTGCACACCCAATAAATGTATTTTCAGTAAGCATACAAAGAGATACTTTTTTCAAAAATGTCATCATATTCATAATTCAGAAATTAATGAAACTTTACGACACTATTAAATAAGACACTATTAAATAAATTTGTTTATTTAGACTGTAACTGAGTCTATTTCAATTTGCAATCCTTCAGCTTTTCTGTAAAATAAATAAAATGAATTGATCCATTATTTGAATCACCTTGATTATTTTGGGGTTTTTTGATAAACAAAATAAAGCCCAGAGAGGTCTAGTGACTTTCTGACAGCAAAAGTCCATTTAAATTCTTGTTAAATCTATGCAATATCTGATATGCTTTTATGCTTTAAGTTCCAAATCGTTAAATTCAACATTGGAAATGTTGACTTTAGTGATAGAATTTTACTGTTGATGTCATTAATATATATGATATAATAATATATATTATACATAAATTTCAACAAAAATATAAATTCAACTGAACTCTACCACTACACATGCTATGATAACATGAATAAAAGGATAAATCACATGATCAAATGATCTTACATCCACAGTCTGGGGGGGGGGGGGGGGGGCACCACCTCAGAGGACAGCTGTGATGATTGTGTAAGTTGGAGGGTCATGCCCTCAAAATTTGACCCATTTTTATGCCCCCGGATCGAAAGATCCCGGGGGTATATTGTTTTTGTCCTGTCTGTCTGTTTGTCCGTTTGTCTGTCTGTATGTTGTCAACTTTAACCTTGCCCATAACTTTTGATTGGTTGGAGCTATGACTTTCATATTTCACATGTGTATTCCTTGTGACAAGACCTTTCTTTGGGTACCATCATATTTGACCTTTTGACCTTGACCTTGGAGTTTGACCCACTTTTGCAAAATTTTATGAGACTTTAACCTTGGCCATAACTTCTGAACAGTTGGTGCTTGGGGTTTCAAACTTCACATGTGTATTCTTTGTGACAAGGCCTTCCTTTGGATACCAACAACTTTGACCTTTTGACCTTGACCTAGGAGTTTGATCTACTTTTGAAAAACTTTAACCTTGGCCATAACTTTTGAACAGTTGGTGCTTAGGGTTTCAAACTTCACATGTGTATTCCTTGTGACAAGACCTTCCTCTGGATATCAACCACTTTGACCCTTTGACCTTGACCTAGGAGTTTGACCTACTTTTGAAAAACTTTAACCCTGGCCATAACTTTTGAATGGTTGCAGCTAGGGCTTTCATACTTCACATATGTAATCCTTGCGACAAGACCTTCCTTTGGATACCAACCACCACTTTGACCTTTTGACCTTGACCTAGGAGTTTGACCTACTTTTGAAAAACTTTAACCCTGGCCATAACTTTTGAATGGTTGATGCTAGGGCTTTCATACTTCACATATGTAATCCTTGTGACAAGACCTTCCTTTGGATACCAACCACCACTTTGACCTTTTGACCTTGACCTAGGAGTTTGACCTACTTTTGAAAAACTTTAACCTTGGCCATAACTTTTGAATGGTTGGTGCTAGGGCTTTCATACTTCACAGGTGTAATCCTTGTGACAAGATCTTCCTTTGGATACCAACCACTTTGACCTTGACCTTGATGTTTGACTTTTATTTAAAAAACTTTAACCTTCGCCATAACTTTTGAACAGTTGTATCTAGGTCTTTCAAATTTCACAGGTGTATTCCTCGAGACAAGACCTTTCTTTGGGTATCAACATTTTTTTTATCTTTTGGCCTGGATTTTGACTTGCATTTGAAGAAACTTTACCCTTCGCCATAAGCTGCCATACGGGGGCATCAGTGTTTCACAAACACATCTTGTTTTATTTACTTTAAAATATGGGTATGTATGTATAATCCTCATAAAAAAAAATTAAAAACCTGGTACATTTCAGTCCATTCTTAACTCATTATGCATGTAGCATTAAAATCTATCAAAACAAGTCAGGTACCACTGACACTTTAATCTATATCTTTTTTTTTTTTTTTGTTTTGTTTGTCAAAAAAAAATCAAAATAAAATTTGAATGTTCACCCTACTAAGCAGAAATCCTAATTTTACCCCTGATAGGCTATCTATGGTCGAGAATGAATTTTTAACAATAAAAAAACTTCTTCATTATATAAAAATGCACATTTTTTTTTCTTTGAAAATGAAGCTCATGTAATATAATGAATATATATACTTGAGACAACAAAGAGGTCACTTAAAGATACATGAATCTGACAGCAATTAAGAAGACTAATTTATCTGTATAAATACATGTACTCATAACTTTCAGGCTCATGCATCTTTGTCTGTCAATGAACTCATTCCATAATTTTTTTTTCTTTCTTATTAAACATAACAAAAACATAAAAAATAAATCACATTCTATTTTCTTTCACCTTCTCTTTACTGGAGGTGTTTGTAATTAATGAAAATTGAGAGAGAAGTCATAATATCATCATCAACTGAGAGTCTAGATCTGGAAGACTGCGTAAAAAAGAAAAAAAACAGATAATACATCAACTATGAGTCTGTAAGACTGCGTAAAAAAACAGATTTTATGCCGATCATAAACAAGAGATTATATTCTATGCTATCAGGAAAGAGATTAATTTCATGTTGTACAGCACATATACTGTAGCAATTATGACCACCATAAAAAATATATCTCCAGTATAATGCATATCAAAATCTCATTGATGTTTCATTTATTTTTATCCTTTCAATTCATGCAAAAAAATATAATATCCACACTTTAAATCTTTCTTTTTCAGATTTTCATATGAACAATAGACATTCAGTGGCATTAACTCTAGGAGTCAAAAGTTTGCATGCAGGCTTCAAAAACAACTGACTTTTAGTCCTCAGGCTTATGGCATCTTCAAAATGTCAAGGTCCACATTAGAACTTAGACAGACTGGCAAAAATAACTAAATTAATTGCCTTTACCATCAATGTAAGCCACCCTGGCTTCTTGGAATGACTGTACAGGGGTAGACAAATAGAATTTTGCATTACTTGCCCTTGGACAGGTTACCATCATAAAATTACTTGTCCTACCAAAAAATATGCTTGTCCGACCTGTTTCTTAATTTAAACAAAATCATTAACATGAAATTATTTCTCAACTGAGACACTACAAGGGAATCAACCTAGATCTAAAATCACTTAATTCTCCCAGGTTTCTTTCGATATTTTCAGGGCATTGGTAAAGTCAAAGTTTCATTCTATTCTCCTCAAAATTCTTCAATAAGATACTCCATATATTTTCTTTCAATAAATTTAATGAAAAAGGTGAAGATGATCTCAAAAAACCTACAAACGAGACAAATCTGTGAACACTACTGCATGCCGATTGAGCTATCGACTTCATGACTATATGACTGCCAATCAACAACACCAATTTTAATAACAGTAGCATGTCTGTATTCACAGAATGAATTTAATATTTTGTCAATAAAAAAAGTCTAAAATCCAATTCAACTTTTTTGACGACATCGGAAGATGTTATGTTTTACAACTTGTGTTTATTTTAACAACACATTCATGGGTAAATTCTAGAGAAGTTCCGACCGACTATTCAATATAGTGGTCAACAGCAGCGAAAACATATGCTTTGTTGTGATTCATGATATTTTAAAAGCGGCAACACAAAAGACATATTGAGTATATGATTTTTTGTAAATGGGAAAAAGCACTTCTCCGCGGGCAGGCACCACTTATCAAAAAACTTGCCCACCAAACAAAATTGGTTGTCCCGGGCGTCAGGCAATGCTCTTTGTCTAGCCCTGCTGTAGACTACCTTTTACACTGTACTGTCAACAACTTTTTCAGTCAGATACTGTTTTTTTTCCCACTTTTGCTATATTTATTTCCCTAAAGTAATTAGTATTTCATGATATTTGGCCAAAACTGATGTATTCACAACATTTAGCTGAAGAGCAGAAGAGAGTGAGAGCACTAACTTATGACTGCAACTATTGGTGCATAGTTAATTTGTGCTAAACAGGTTGGGACCAATTGCCCAAAGGGATATATAGC